TATGTACAGTATCATATCATCTGCAAATAGTGACAGTTTAACTTCTTCTTTACCAATCTGGATTCCTTGTATTTCTTTGTTTTGTCTGATTGCCGTGGCTAGGACCTCCAGTACTATGTTAAATAACAGTGGGGAGAGTGGGCATCCCTGTCTGGTTCCCGATCTCAGTGGAAATGCTTTCAGCTTCTCGCTGTTCAGTATAATGCTGGCTGTGGGTTTATCATATATGGCCTTTATTATGTTGAGGTACTTGCCCTCTATTCCCATTTTGCTGAGAGTTTTTATCATGAATGGATGTTGAATTTTGTCAAATGCTTTTTCAGCATCTATGGAGATGATCATGTGGTTTTTGTCTTTCTTTTTGTTGATGTGGTGGATGATGTTGATGGATTTTCGAATGTTGTACCATCCTTGCATCCCTGGGATGAACCCCACTTGGTCATGGTGTATGATCCTTTTGATATACTGTTGAATTCTGTTTGCTAATATTTTATTGAGTATTTTTGCATCTACATTCATCAGGGATATTGGTCTGTAATTTTCTTTTTTGGTGGGGTCTTTGCCTGGTTTTGGTATTAGGGTGATGTTGGCTTCATAGAATGAGTTTGGGAGTATTCCCTCTTCTTCTATTTTGTGGAACACTTTAAGGAGAATGGGTATTATGTCTTCTCTGTGTGTCTGATAAAATTCCGAGGTAAATCCGTCCGGCCCCGGGGTTTTGTTCTTGGGTAGTTTTTTGATTACTGTTTCAATTTCTTTGCTTGTAATTGGTTTGTTTAACTTTTGTGTTTCTTCCTTGGTCAGTCTTGGGAGGTTGTATTTTTCTAGGAAGTTGTCCATTTCTTCTAGGTTTTCCAGCTTGTTGGCATATAGGTTTTCATAGTAGTCTTTAATAATTCTTTGTATTTCTGTGGAGTCTGTCGTGATTTTTCCATTCTCATTTCTGATTATGTTGATTTGTGTTGACTCTCTTTTTCTCTTAATAAGTTGGGCTAGAGGCTTATCTATTTTGTTTATTTTCTCAAAGAACCAGCTCTTGGTTTCGTTGATTTTTGCTATTGTTTTATTCTTCTCAATTTTGTTTATTTCTTCTCTGATCTTTATTATGTCCCTCCTTCTGCTGACTTTAGGCCTCATTTGTTCTTCTTTTTCCAGTTTTAATAATTGTGATGTTAGACTATTCATTTGGGATTGTTCTTCCTTCTTCAAGTGTGCCTGGATTGCTATATACTTTCCTCTTAAGACTGCTTTCGCTGCATCCCACAGAAGTTGGGGCTTAGTGTTGTTGTTGTCATTTGTTTCTATATATTCCTTGATCTCTATTTTGATTTGTTCATTGATCCATTGATTATTTAGTAGCATGTTGTTAAGCCTCCATGTGTTTGTGAGCCTTTTTGTTTTCTTTGTAGAATTTATTTCTACTTTCATACCTTTGTGGTCTGAAAAATTGGTTGGTAGAATTTCAATATTGTGGAATTTACTGAGGCTCTTTTTGTGAGCTAGTATGTGGTCTATTCTGGAGAATGTTCCATGTGCACTTGAGAAGAATGTATATCCTGTTGCTTTTGGATGTAAAGTTCTATAGATGTCTATTAGGTCCATCTGTTCTAGTGTGTTGTTCAGTGCCTGTGTGTCTTTACTTATTTTCTGCCCGGTGGATCTATCCTTTGGGGTGAGTGGTGTGTTGAAGTCTCCTACAATGAATGCATTGCAGTCTATTTCCCTCTTTAGTTCTGTTAGTATTTGCTTCACATATGCTGGTGCTCCTGTATTGGGTGCATATATATTTAGAATGGTTATATCCTCTTGTTGGACTGAGCCCTTTATCATTATGTAGTGGCCTTCTTTATCTCTTGTTACTTTCTTTGTTTTGAAGTCTATTTTGTCTGATATTAGTACTGCAACCCCTGCTTTCTTCTCACTGTTGTTTGCCTGAAATATGTTTTTCCATCCCTTGACTTTTAGTCTATGCTTATCTTTGGGTTTAAGGTGAGTTTCTTGTAAGCAGCATATAGATGGGTCTTGCTTTTTTATCCATTCTATTACTCTATGTCTTTTGATTGGTGCATTAAGTCCATTTACATTTAGGGTGACTATTGAAAGATATGTACTTATTGCCATTGCAGGCTTTAGATTCGTGGTTACCAAAGGTTCAAGGTTAGCTTCTTTAGTATCTTACTGCCTAACTTAGCTCGCTTATTGAGCTGTTATATACACTGTCTGGAGAGTCTTTTCTTCTCTCCCTTCTTATTCCTCCTCCTCCATTCTTCATATGTTGTGTGTTTTGTTCTGTGCTCTTTTTAGGGGTGCTCCCATCTAGAGCAGTCCCTGTAGGATGCCCTGTAGAGGTGGTTTGTGGGAAGCAAATTCCCTCAGCTTTTGCTTGTCTGGGAATTGTTTGATCCCACCATCATATTTAAATGATAGTCGTGCTGGATACAGTATCCTTGGTTCAAGGCCCTTCTGTTTCATTGCATTAAGTATATCATGCCATTCTCTTCTGGCCTGTAGGGTTTCTGTTGAGAAGTCTGATGTTAGCCTGATTGGTTTTCCTTTATAGGTGACCTTTTTCTCTCTAGCTGCCTTTAAAACTCTTTCCTTGTCCTTGATCCTTGCCATTTTAATTATTATGTGTCTTGGTGTTGTCCTCCTTGGATCCTTTCTGTTGGGGGTTCTGTATAATTCCATGGTCTGTTCGATTATTTCCTCCCCCAGTTTGGGGAAGTTTTCAGCAATTATTTCTTCAAAGACACTTTCTATCCCTTTTCCTCTTTCTTCCTCTTCTGGTATCCCTATAATACGAATGTTTTTCCTTTTGTATTGGTCACATATTTCTCTTAGTGTTGTTTCATTCCTGGAGATCCTTTTATCTCTCTCTATGTCAGCTTCTATACGTTCCTGTTCTCTGGCTTCTATTCCTTCAATGGCCTCTTGCATCTTATCCATTCTGCTTATAAATCCTTCCAGGGATTGTTTCACTTCTGTGATCTCTTTCCTGACATCTGTGATCTCCTTCCGGACTTCATCCCACTGCTCTTGCATTTTTCTCTGCATCTCATCCCACTGCTCTTGCATTTTTCTCTGCATCTCATCCCATTGCTCTTGCATTTTTCTCTGCATCTCTGTCAGCATGTTCATGATTTTTATTTTGAATTCTTTTTCAGGAGGACTAGTTAGGTCTGTCTCCTTCTCAGGTGTTGTCTCTGTGATCTTTGTCTGCCTGTAGTTTTGCCTTTTCATGGTGATAGAGATAGTTTGCAGAGCTGGTACAAGTGACCGCTGGAAGAGCTTCCCTTCTTGTTGGTTTGTAGCCTTTTCCTGGGAGAATAGCGACCTCTAGTGGCTTGTGCTGGGCAGCTGTGCGCAGACAGGGCTTCTGCTTCCTGCCCAGTTGCTTTGGGGTTTATCTCCGCTGTTGCTGTGGGCTTGGCCTGGCTGGGGCTGTTCCTCCAAAATGGTGGAGCCCCGTTGGAGGGGGAGCGGCCGGGAGGCTATTTATCTCCGTAAGGGGCCTCTGTGCTCCCTGCTGCCCAGGGGGTTAGAGTGCCCAGAGATCCCCAGATTCCCTGCCTCTGGTCTAAGTGACCTGTCCTGCCCCTTTAAGACTTCCAAAAAGCACTCTCCAAACCAAAACAACAACAGCAACAATGAGAGAGGGAACAGAAAGAAAAAAAAAGAAAAAAAAGAAAAAAAAAAAAAGAAGCGATTTTTTTTTCTTTTTTTTGTCCTCAAGTGCCGGTCCCAGGCACCCGCTCACTGGTCCTGCTGCCCTGTCTCCCTAGCACCAGGGTCCCTGTCCTTTCAAGGCTTCCAAAAAGCACCCACCCACCGGTCCCGCAGGGAAGGAATGCTCGATGTTCTTTGTCCTCAGGCGCTGGTCCCAGGGACCCGCTCACCAGTCCCGCTGCCCTGCCTCCCTAGCACCGGGGTCCCTGTCCCTTTAAGGCTTCCAAAAAGTGCTCGCCAAAAAGAGAAAAAAAAAAGGGGAAAAACGCGCGATTTCCTCCGTCCTCTTGCGCCGGTCTCAGGCACCCGCCCGCCGGTCCCGCAGGGAGAAATGCGGGATATTCTTTGTCCTCTGGCGCCGGTCCCAGGCACCTGCTCACCGGTCCCGCCACCCTGCCTCCCTAGCACCGGGGTCCCTGTCCCTTTAAGGCTTCCAAAAAGCACTCGCCAAAAAAAAACCGCTCCAGTTTCTTTCCACCCGCGGGGATCCGGGGGGAGGGGCGCTCGGGTCCTGCCAGGCTGGGGCTTGTATCTTACCCCCTTCGCAAGGCGCTGGGTTCTTGCAGGTGTGGATGTGGTCTGGATGTTGTCCTGTGTCCTGTGGTCTCTCTGATCTTTGCCATTTTAATTATTTTATGTCTTGGTTGTCCTCCTTGGGTCCCTTGTGTTGGGAGATCTGTGGACTTCCATGGTCTGAGAGACTATTTCCTCCCCCAGCTTGGGGAAGTTTTCAGCAATTATTCCTTCAAAGACACTTTCTATCCCTTTTTCTCTCTCTTCTTCTTCTGGTACCCCTATAATGCAAATATTGTTCTGTTCGGATTTTTCACATAGTTCTCTTAATATTCTTTCATTCCTAGAGATCCTTTTATCTCTCTCTGCCTCAGTTTCTCTGTATTCCTCTTCTCTGATTTCTATTCCATTAACAGTCTCTTGCACCTCATCCAGTCTACTCTTAAGCTCTTCTATTGATTGTTTCATTTCTGTTATCTCCCTCTCAACTTCATCCCTTAGCTCTTGCATATTTCTCTTCAGGTCCATCAGCATGCTTATGACTTTTATTTTGTATTCTTTTTCAGGAAGATTGGTTATATCTATCACACCGGGCCTTCTCTATGGAGTTGTCTGAGTGATTTTTGACTGGACCTGATTCTTCTGCCTTTTCATGGCGATAGAAGTGGTTGCAGGCAGGTGGCACATGTGTCAGCTGGGAGAACAATGTCCCTTCCTGCTTGTTGGTTGCCTTGCCCTTCTCTGCTGCCTGTGCACTCTACCTTCAGGCCATGAGCATCCTCTGGGACAATCTCCTGAGCTTCCATTGGCGGGGCAGCCATCGGGCTAGCATAGAGCACTGCGGGGTTTCCCAGCGGTGCTGGGTGTGTTCTCCTGTGAGAACAGCACCCCTTTGTGCCTTCTGGACCTTGCTCTGGCTTCCTCTGCCTGTGCCGGTTACCTGCACACCAGGAGGCAGTCTCTGGGTTAATCTCCTGAGCTGCTGTGGGCAGAGCCACCCTCAGGCTAGCCTCGAGCCCTGTGAGTGGGGGGGGGGGGGGTCAGAGCTGCGCTGGGTGTGTTCTCCTATGAGAATGGCACCCCTTCGTCCCTTCCAGACCTTGCTTTGGCTTCTTCTGTCTGTCCCAGTTAGCTTCACACTGGGAAGAGACTCTGTGTTGTTGCTATCCGCAGGGCTGTTCTCCGGCTGCTTCGCAGCTATGGCGGGTCAGCTGTGGTGGGTCAGCCAATCTGCTTGCAGTGCCAGCCGGGGGAATGAAATGGCAGGCTGCTTATCTCTGTGAGGGGCTTCGGGGCTGCTTTACCCCTCAGGGGATTAGGGGACCTTATGTTCCTCAAGATTCCCAACCTGCTGGGCTGAGTGTGCTGGGACAATTTTGTTTAGCTTTTGAGCCTTTGTCCCTTTAAGACTTTAAAAAGTGCCCGCTTTTCTTTTGTCCCAGGGAAGCTGGCTATGGGGACCCGCTTGCAGTCTCCATCTCAGACCCTACCCTTCCGTTTTTCTAATATTCCGTATAGCCTGCAATGTGTTTCTGTGCTTCTGGTGCAGATTACCAGGGCTGGTTATTTAGCAGTTGTGTGCTTCCACCCCCTCCCCACTCTGATTGTTTTCCTCCCACTGGTGAGCTGGGATGGGGTGAGTGCTCGGGTCCCACTGGGTCACAGCTTTGTATCTTACCCCTTTCATGAGATCCTGAGTTCTTGCAGATGTAGATGTGGCCTGGCTGTTGTACTGTATCTTCTGGTCTCTCTTTTAGGAATAGTTGTATTTTCAAAAATATATATGGTTTTGGGAGGAGATTTCCGCCACCCTACTCATGCTGCCATCTTGGCAGTCCTAATATTAACTAATATTTAAGCATTCACTTAGTTCAAAGCAAGATAGCTATATAGATACTTAAATTTCATCATTCCCAAAGTAACTGCAAAATAGTATTGTTACTTCATGTTAAAGATGAAGAAACTGAGACTCACAGGAGTTAAGTATCCTGCTCAAGGTCACTGAGCAGTTAAGTATGGGTAAACTGATTACAGAATCAATGTTCAGAAACATCTCTGCTATATTGCATTTTCTTTTTAAGACATTGTGGTTAACAGACTGTAAAGTGGCCTTGAATGATCCCTGTGTCCAGGTAGTCATCCCCTTTGGGTGTAGGGTGGCTTAAATGACTTGCTTCTAACTAAGAAAACATGACACAGATGAGTTATCACTTTTGTGTTTAGGTTGTGAGGATTGTAACCTCTTTCTAGCTGACTCTCTACCTTGCTGGCATGAAGTAAGTTGCTGTGTTGACAGGCCCATGTACCAAGGAATTTAGGGTGGCCTCTCACCAATAGCCAGCGAGAAACTGAGGCCCTCAGTCCCTCAGATCACAGAGAAATGAATCTTGCTAACAATCAGATGAGCTTGGAAGCAAATCTTACAGTCACCCTTCATAAGTGAACCCAAGCCCTGGTCAACACTTTCATTGTAGCCTTGTGTGAAAATGAGATAGAGAACCTAATTAAGCAGTGCCCATATCCCTGACCTACAGAAATGGTGAGGCAAAAATAGGTGTTGTTTAAAGCTGTGAAATTATGGCAGTCTGTTATGCAGCAATAGATAATTCATACAGCCATTAAAAATACAGTTAAAATTAAGTTACATAATGAATATTGCAAATACTTAAATGAACTTACTATGTCATCCACTGTTCTAAGTGCTTTATATGTACCAATTCACTTAATCCTCCCAACTATGCTATGTAGTGTGTTACTACCCTTCTTTCCTACATGAGAAAACAGAGGAACTGATGTTTTCAGTCATCTGGTTATATATCTAGAAAATGGCAAAACTTGGGTAGTCATCCAGGGATTCTGGCTCTGGGAATCTCATACACTAACCACTCTGCTTTATTGATTCCAATGTCATAGTTTCTTAAAAAGATTCATGACAGAACCTGGCTACTAAACATTAAATTAGAAATTTCATTAGTGAACATTTATTTTGAAAACATAATGTCTTAAAATGGCAAGACCTAAAAACAGATATCATAAGGAAATCTATTTTTCATCTGTCACAGCTCTAGCAAGTAAGGGCTCCCCAAAGGTGACCATAGAAAATGAGGTCTTGGAATCTAAATAGATGAATCTTTGAACAAACTTTTGGATATTGTGTCTCTTCTAATCTAGCTAAACATTCTCAATTAGCATGACTCTTGAAATTCATGTTACTGTGGAGATAAAAACTGAAATAATTTACGTATTAGAATCTTGGTGTTTCATATTTACTGCTGGTGGTTCAGAGAAGAGGAGGGATTTGTATTCCAAATAAAACACAGATTGAAAACTGGATAAAAGAGAGAAACGTTACTTTACACCTGGGAAAATTATACATTATTTCCCACATCTTCCCTGGTACACTGTCAAGTTTCACATAAATTTAAACATGTTTATACCAAGAAACACTTGAAGTCACTATAAATTCCATCTATTATTAGGATTCTGTATGATGGAGAACTTCTGAGTAGCTCACAGCAAGGGCAGCCACCTAGGTCCCAATTTATCAACATTTCCTCCAAAAGCAATATAGAACAAGAAGTGAAAAATAAAACTATGCAAAATGATGCCCTTGCCATAACTTGAAGAGAAAGAATATCTAAACTTCAAAATGACTGTAAGTAAAAGGAGAAATAACACCAAATTATAATGTGTTATGTCTCATTTTCCTTCACTTTTCTACCTGCCCTCCTACAAGTCTTTGTGGTGAGCAAGGCCAACTGAGAGAATCTGAGGGAAAAACAGAAGGGAGATAGCTAAAAGGCCTAAAGTTATGTAAAGCACTACCAGAAAGACCAAGTTCACCATAAATTTTTTTTAAAGTGTGTAGGTAGAATAGAGCATAAACTATAGGGAAGAAACTTGAAAGTGTGTCATTTGAATGGGCAGTCTTTGAAACACATAGCTTCTGGGAGAGATAAAAAGGTAAAAATAATGGAGAAGAACCCTTTGTCAATTGCATGGTGAAAGGGAAAACTAGAAAAAGGGCAAAATTTAGGGTCAACATGACAAAAGAGAGCCACAAAATCAGAATACACAAACTTTCTCCATCATAAAAACAGAAACACAAATTTATCAAATGTTATGATTTTGCTGTGCTGACAGAAGAGGGCGCCATTAAAGTAGGAATCTCATAACAAACCACAATATAACAAAATGAACAAAGATTAATAGATCTATACAGAGCTGTTATTGAGAAGGAAATTTATAGCACTAAATACTTAAAATAGAAGAATGGAAGGTCCTCAAATTAATAATCTGAGTGGCCATCTCCAAAGAAAGCTAGAGAAAATAAACCTAAGGCAACTAGAAGGAAGGAAATAATGAAGAGCAGAAATGAATGAAATTGAAAATAGGAAAATAGAGAAAATCAATGAAATAAAAAGCTAGTTATTTAAAACTATCAATAAGGTTGATAAACTAGCAAGACTGAAAAAGATAAAAAGAAGATACAAATTATCTATATCAGGAATGGATTGGGATATTACTACAGATCCTTCAGCCATTAAAGAATAGTAAGGCAATACTATGAGCAACTCTACAGACATAAATTAAAAAACAAAGGTGAAAAAGACTGATGCCTTGAAAAATACAAATGACCAAAATTCACTCAATACAAAATAGTTAATACAAATAGTCCTACAACTATTCAAGAAACTGAATCCATAATTTAAAAGTGTTCTTACAGAAATCTCCCAACCCTGATCATTTTACTGGAGAATTCTACCAAACATTTCAGAAAAATTAGCACCAATTCTCCACAATCTTTTCTAGAAAATAGAAGAGGACAAAACATGTAACAACCCATTATGTGAAGCCAAAATTACCCTAATAAGAAAACTAGACAAAGGCAATACAAAAAAGGTAAAACCGTAGACCAGTACATCCCATGATCCTAGATTCAAAGTTTCTCAACAAAATCCTTGCAAGTCTTGTATAAAAAAGAATTATATGTCATGATTAAGTGGGGTTTATTCCAGGAATACAAGACGGGGCCAATATTAGAAAATCGAAGTAATTTACATCAACAGGCTGAAAGAGAAAAACTACATATCATATCAATGATGTAGAAATGCATTTAACAAAATTAGACACCCATTCCTGATTAAAAAACAAAAGTCCCAGAAAATCAGAAATAAAGAGGAACTTTCTTAACTTGATAAAGAGCATCTATATAAATCCTGCAGCTATCATAATACTGGGGAAAAACTGAGTGCTTTCCCTCAAAGATCAGGAACAGAGGAAGAATGTGTTTTCCCCATTCTTATTCATCATAGTGGAAGTCCTAGCCAGCTTAATAAGGCAAGAAAAGGAAACAAAAATCATACATATTAGAAAGGAAGAAATAAAGCTGTCCTCAATTTTAGATTGCATGATTGTCTATGTAGAAAAAGAGTCTAAAAAAAGTTTGTAGAACTAATAAGTGAGTTCAGAAAGGTCACAGAATACAAGATCAACACACAGTATACAAGATCAATCATATTCCTATATACTAGCAAAGAACATGTGGAAACAAAAATTAAAATACATACCATTTACTCACTCCATAAAATTTAAATACTTAGTTATAAATCTAATAAAACAGCTACAGGATCTGGATGCTATATTATGAAGATTTCAAAACACAAATGAAAGAAATCAAAAAACTAAATAAATGGAGAGACATAATGTGCTCATGGATTAGAAGGTTCAATATAGTAAAAATGTCAATTTTTCTCAAATTGATACATAGTTATAATGTAATTCCTGTCAAAATCCCAACAATATTTTCTGTAGATATAAT